CATTGCTCTGTGTGGTGGTTTCCTTGGCACCTACAAAAGCAACACGGGGTTTCGGGGTGGCCTTTGTGAGAGGGGTTCCCTCCACTTCTCAAATCTGGGGTAGTCTGCAGGTGCACCAGACGGAGACCCCACGAAAGGCGAGACCCGGGGTCATTCTTCAGCCCAGTCTCAAGCTTGGGAACAAACGAAGGGACCCCCCCAACCCCCCCAAATGTTATGACAGATCAGGGCTTAATTCTGCCTTGAGACTAATTTGTTTCCCCCGGGCTCTGACACTGACTGGTGGCCTATGCCATCGGACCTGATGACGTTTTGCAGGAAAAGCCAGATGATGCCATCTGTCTTGCTGTCCTGGCAGAGTCCCTGGGGCCGGCGAGTGAGCCTGGCGTCATGTGACAGGGGCAATTCTACCAAGGACGACCTTGACTTGACTCAAGCTTGCTCGCCGCCTCTCCCTGGCTGGGCTGCCACCAACCGTATTCTCTGCATTCCCCACGCCCAGGCAAATGCCAGGTATCTGCAGCTGGCTTGGGCCCGGCCGGCTGAGTAAGGGCTAGTGTGTCCAGGCTGGCATTGGCACTCCCAAGCCAGATAGCTGTCACCGGGCTGCCGTAACTTCGATATTGGCAAAGCCAGAGCGCGGCGCTGGTTCTCCCACTAATGCACATCAGGGCAGATGTCCCGGTGAATCATCCGTTTCTCCACACCTTCCCAGGGCCGGGAAGAGGCACCCCGGGAGCAGATGAGTCATCGGCAAAGGGGCGTGTCCCTCTGGGCCAGTGACTCAGCTGTGTGTGTGAAAGGGTGGATGCAGCAAATAACCCAGACGGAGCAAAGCAACGAGAGTGGACCTGTGAGCACAGCCTGAGAAACACGCACCCCTCCGCTCGCTCTCCAGGGACGGCGGCGGGGGTGTGCGTGTGCACGTGCCCGAGGCCTTTCAAAGGCTGACCCCGAGAGAACAGCTGCTCCCCCAAACCGAAAGCAGCCACCGGAGGACCAAGGCAGCAAAGCCTCTGGGAAAAAAAAATCTCTGACCTGCGAGTGAGGATGGGGGTGAGATGGGGGGAGGGTCCCCATGAGCTCCCTGGACCCACCGCGGGCGTCTCCTTCCGGTCCCTCTGCCCTCCCGCGCCCCTGTCCACACCGGGACGGAGCCGGGCACGACCCCACGCAGTTGGCATTTCTGTCGCAGAGCAGGAGGTGGGGAACTGGAGTCGGGACTGCTGGCACTGTGGGAATTCCGGCAGGGCCACGGCAGGCACGCAACCAGGTCCCCCAGCCCCGACCTCCCCCCGTGCACCTTTGCCCCACCGGCTTACTCTGCCAACACCCTTCTGAAGGGCAGAGTCGCCCTCTCTGACCTCTGTCCACTCGCTGACGGGGGCCAGGGGAGGAGCAAACCCCGAGTCACCTAGGAGATTTTCTGAAGGGTCTACTCCCGGTACCTGGGAAAAAAAATCTCTGGCCTGCGAGTGAGGATGGAGGTGGGATGGGGGCGATGGAGTGCCTGGCCCACTCATGGCCAGGGGTCATCCTGGCTCGGCAGGGCCCCGAGACCCTCGCCCCCCACTCCGCATTGCAGTGGAGAAGCTGCCCCCAAACGGTCCAAACTGGCAAATCGCATCTCAGCTAGTGACCCGCAGCTTCCGTCAAGGTCCACCCCGAGGTGGGATAACGGGGCCTGTCTTCTGCGCCCCTGCACACGCCTGGGGTCTTTCGAGCAGGCGCTCCTCCGCCCCTTGTGTCCGCAACTGGGGGTCACGATCCCTCCTGGTAAGTGACCCCGATATGGGGCGGATAACCGGGTGATGTTGGAAGGTTTCTGAGCGCACAGCATGAAGGATGTGATCAACCCGAATGGCTCGGTACCACCCGGGCACCAGAACCCGGGGTGCCGCCGGCCGTACCGCTGACGCTGCACTTCAGGGGGAAATGGGGCTCACGAGGTGCCGCTGGAGGGGGGCCTGAACAGCCCCCAAGCCCGGTCCTGCCCACCATCTCCACTGAGGCAGGTGAGGGCGTCGGTTCTGTCACGTCCGATACTGCTGACCTCTGTGCCTCAGCTGAGCCCTCGCGCACATATCCTGGGAGCAGGTCCTGGTCCAGGAGGCTCGGTCGGACCCAAGGGAGCAGCAGGTTCCTTCCTTGGGTCCTCCTGGGTCTGGATAACCCAGGCACACCTACAGCGGAGAGTTCTAGAACACACCCGCAGTGGTGTGTGAGGAGCATGCATGCACAACCACACACGCACACTTACAACGACTGGGGACACATGGGTGTGTCTCCTGAAGACAGAGCATATGGGCACCAGTATATTGCCAGGACGACCATGGATTTCCCAGGGGCGCGGGGGTCGGGGGTGGCCCGTGCCCTGCACTTACTCCGCCCCACCCCAGACCTCCTGCTGACCGCCCATGGGGCCAACCTCAGGAGGCCACTGCCCGCGGGCATTGCTGGAGAAACCGGGCTTGAGTGTCAAGACCTTCCCCTCTCCCCACAGAACATGCAGCTCTAGATTGCCAGGGCCCGCGAGAAGTGAGGCGAAGACCCTGATGTGTTTGCTCTCTTCGGACACTTGTTAGAAAGGACCCAAAGAAAGACCCTGGGTGCAGAGCCTGAGCTGGCAGAGCTTCTACCTCTGACAAGGCACTTGGTGGCAGCCAGGGCGGAGCAGGGCCGACCAGGGAGGGAGAGACGAGGACATACAGGCTGGAAAAGAGGGTGGTCCCTCCTCTCCTCTCCTCCCCTCCCCTCCCCTCCCCTCCCCTCCCCTCCCCTCCCCTCCCCTCCCCTCCCCTCCCCTCTCCTCTCCTCTCCTCTCCTCTCCTCTCCTCTCCTCTCCTCTCCTCTCCTCTTTCTCCTCCGCCTCCTCCTTCTCCTCCTCCTCCTTCTCCTACTCCTCTCCTTCTCCTCTCCTTTCCTCTCCTTCTCCCGTCTCCTCCTCCTCCTCCTCCTCCTCCTCCTTCTCCTTCTCTCCTTCTGTCCCCTCCCCTCTCCTCTCCTCCCCCTTCTCCCTCCAGCCTAGCCAGACAGCCTGACTCCCCACACACACAGCCCGCCCTCACCCCCAACCCCCATCCCTACCCCAGGCCCCAGCAAGCGTCAGGTGTCAGAGCAAGAGGTGCCCAACCTGCAGACTCCAAGCAAATTCTTGTCCTGATCCATCGTGGGGCGTTGGCAGACAGCGCCCCAATGCCCCCAGCACGCGGCAGAATAGGGGTCCAAAGTCTCAGGACTCTGGTAGACCTCCTCTAATTTAGTAAGCACATGAGGTCTCCCAGCTAGTGATCCCGCAATTCCCGTCCCCCCAGACAGCCGGAGACGCTCCAGTTTGGAGGGTTTAAGGAAGACCACCTTGGCGGATTACTGGAGATGCTCAAGAAGAGTGCTCTGGCTCGGGACGGCCTAGGACTCCCCCCGGCTGATGGTCTGGTGATGTTCTCACCGATCTGGCCCAATCCCAGCACCCCCACTCAAGCCCCGCATCATACTCTCTCTGTGCCTCCTGCCATGGGCCAGGAGTAGAGGCTGCCAACCTCTGATGCGGGCGCACACCTTGTCCCCAGCCCCAGGCTAGCTAAGGTGGGCACCGTCTCCACTGCAGGTGCCCACTCAGGGCGGAGAGTAGGGGACGGGGCGGAGAGGGCGAAGGGCCAGGAAGGTCACTGTGTCTTCATGACAGAGAGTCCCTCTGATGAGAACAAAGCAGCCGGACGGGCCGGGAGGGCGGGCGGGAAGGACCTCGATGGAACGTATGAAAATAAAGGAAACCTCAAGCCTCATCTTGTGATTGAAGAGGAAGTCAATCATGACCGGCCTGCAGTTTGTCATCTTGGCCATGGCTCAGCACGATTGATTTTCTTTCTTTTTTAAAAAAAAAAAATACCAAGACATCCTGGAGAATGGGAAAAAAATAAAAGAGCTGTTTGCAGTGAAATTGTCGGGCTCCCCAAAGGACGAGGTGCCATTGTGGCTGTTGTTTGCACTAAGATCCAGGCTGTGACCCAAATCCTAAGCTCCTGAGCCACCGTGAGCTCAAATGGCAGCAGGAAGTGGGAACCTACGACCAGGAGCGGAGGGGTGAGGTCCATTTCCACCTCACGTTCTTAGGTTCGATTCTGTCTCAGGGAATCACAACTGAGTCTTCGTCCCCAATGCTTTCTGACCTATGGAACTTGGGTGCTCAAAGGTGAAGTAAGAGAGACCCATTTCTCAATGAAACAACGACAATAACAAACTCTCTTTGTTCTTGCATCAGATGGATTTAAATGAAAACAGCTTGAACTGGGACCATTTCTTTCAGAACAGGTCACCCTTCCCTCTCCAGCACCCCACCCTGACACTGAAAAACAACCACACACACACATTATTTTCTGCAAAGAGGTAACTGAGCCTCTCCACAAACAGAAATAGACTTGACTCCTGGTCAAACCGTCCATGGGGGGTAAAATTGAAGAGGTTTTAGGAATTAGTGTACAGGCGAGACACACCCTGTTTACCGAAAGCCTTAAAACACAATAACAGGTCCTCGCACAACAGGTTCTGAGCCACTGGCGATGGCAGCGCCCGCTATGGAAGGATCCACTCTCTTGCTCTTAAGGGCAACGGAGAGATTAGGGCGCTTAAGTGGAGAATACATATATTAAGGGAAGAGCGGCTGGGATCCTGCTGCAATCTAAGAACCCTGGGTCATTTTGAAAGGAATGAAAATGGGTCTTTCAAAGGCCTTAAGATCCAGAGGAAACTGCAGTCTCAGCTTATGTGTTGGCATCTAGCCAAGCCAGCAAGCTGGCGGCGCGGCGGGTGAATTGTCCCAACTGGGACCCGCCCTGACGCCTTGCCTCAGGCAGGGCAGGGACATCCACAAGGCCTGGGCAGAGCGGGCAGGGTCAGTGGTCACAGGTGCCAGAGAGAACCAAGTGGTGTTTGCGTGCGTGTGTATACACACACACACACACACACACACACACACACACACACACACCGGCTCACTCTTACCTCCAACATCGGCCGGGCACTGTCATGGACAGACAAAATATGCGTCACTTTGTTCTTGCTCAGTTGCTCTGCATCCCTGGCATCTGTCGAAGAAGGAAAAAGATGGGCCTTTATTTGTCTTTTCATTTAATATTTTTAAATTGAACCGCTATGAGGTACACAGTTACAAAGCCGTGCATGGCTGGGTTTCACTCATACAATGTTCCAACACTTGTTCCTCCACCAGGGGACATTCCCCATCACCAATGTCCTCAGTTTCCCTCCTGCCACCCCCCCACAAACCCCCCAGCCTGCCTGTAGAGCAAGTATGTTCCTTCTTTCTCTCTCTCTCTCTCTTTCCTTTTGGGCATTATGGTTTGCAAAATAGGTACTGAGAGGTTATCAGGTTTGTTCCTTTACCTACTTTCAGCACTCAGCTCTTATCCCGAGTGAATGACATTTTAAAGCCATTTGCAGATAAATTCTTCCTAGAACTCAGCCATGAAAAAAAAAAAAAACCACAAAATGACTTGCGGATTTTTCTTCTCTGGGAACTTCACTAAGGATGGTGACTGAAAGAATCTAGATTTACGAAATTTAGGGCTATTGCTTTGTATACATTTTGAAGATAATTGAGTTTGTGTCTGCTAGGCACACCTTGGTACACATGGACCACTGAAAACTTGAAATGCAATTAGATTAATAAACATACTAATCGTGAACCACTTAAAGAAGTGATCCTATGAAATGCTTGTGGTTAAGCTTTGCTCAGTGTGTACACTCAGAGTAACTTTTTACATGGAAAATAATACATTTTTAAAAAAATAGTTTTGAACGATCTCTTTATTCTTTAGCAATCGAAGTTAAAAGTAAGCAAAACCCGTTCTATGGAAGAGAGAGGTCTCCTTTAGGAGGTGGAGTAGTGAACAGTAAAAGGTTTTTTCTTTTAGGTTGCTTTCTCATGCGTGTTGTACAGAAACGGTTCTAAAGATGAACTAGAAGAAACACCAGCCTTGGCCCTGCAGCCCACTGATGAGTCCAGGCCCAGCACCGTCCACTTAAGGACAAGAGAGCCAGGCCCCTCCTTGCAAACGTCACCCCTAGCACCCTTACATCCACAGCAACGCAGAGGTACCCGCCCCTCTTGCAGCTCTTGCAGCCTTCAAGGAGCTCTTCAGCCCTGCAAAGCTGGAAGGAAGGGACAGTTTAGCCGGAGTGCCCCGATTCCCACTGTGCATGTGCAGCCCTTGGAACTCCTGCGCAGACCGGGAGCCGCCATATTGAATGGCGGCCCCCCAGGGAGTCGCCATATTGAAAGGCAAGGAGTCGCCATGTTGAAAGAACCCGGGCAAGCCGGGACAGGCGCGGGACTTGGGGAGCTCAAGGAGGAGCACAGACGAGCCGGGGCAGCACACCAGGGAGAATCCACGCCCCACGGAGATGGGCCTGTGACAACCAGGACAAAGATGTGACCAGACCGGATAGAAGGCACGACCGTCCGGATTCTGATTCTGCCCAGGATTTGCATGCGAACGATCAATGTTTTTGGTGGTGCTCGGGGATCACTCCTGGTAGTGCTCCAGGGACCCTGTGGGGCGCTGGGAATCGAGTCTGGGTTGGCCACGTGCAAGGCAAACGCCCTGCCTGCTCTACTCTTCATCCAGCCTCTATTCAGTTTTTATTTTATTTATTTATTGCTTTTGGGGTTATACCCAGCGATACACAGGGGTCACTCCTGGCTCTACACTCAGGAATTACCCCTGGCGGTGCTCAGGGGACCCTATGGGATGCTGGGAATCGAACCCGGGTCGGCCGCGTGCAAGGCAAATGCTCTACCTGCTGTGCTATTGCTCCAGCCCCTCTATTCAGTTTTTATTTTTATTTTATTTTGGCCTTTTGGGTCACATCTGGCGATACACAGGGGTCACTCCTGGCTCTGCACTCAGGAATTACCCCTGGCGGTGCTCAGGGGGACCATATGGGATGCTGGGAATTGAACCCGGGTAGGCTGTGTGCAAGGCAAACACCCTACCCGCTGTACTATTGCTCCAGCCCCTCTATTTGGTTTTTAAACATCCACTTTATTGAGATAAATCACATACTGTATATAGATACATGTTTTTGCAGTGCCCAGGATCGAACCCAAGGCCTCACACCCAAAAGCAAGGGCTCGAGCAGTCCTGAATCCCTGCCCCCAAATTCAACCTTTGAGAGCGCACGATTCGATGGTCTTTAGTATCCTCACAGAGTTGTGAAACACTCACAAGCTGACTTTAGGACATTTCTCTCACCCCGTAAACATGCTTGAAATGCATGCAAGAGTGTGATCCGGCAAGAAAATCTGATACCGTTGAATCCACCAGCAGGCCACCAGATACCACCACCCGGATTGCAGGACCCCAGGAACACGGAAGCAGCTCCAGCCGGGGTCTGTGCATTCCTCGGTTCATTCATTAGGTGCTCTCTGCAGAGACCGACCTGCTTTGCTCTTCATGACTTTTAATCAGGGAAGGCTGCCTGGAGGCTTCCTACCAGCAGAGGCACTGCAGAGGAGACCCTGGCCACAAGAGTCACTGGCATGGACATGTGTGTACAAGGCAGTGAGTTTCCTATCAGCCCCCACAGAACTGGGGGGAAGCTGGCTCGGAGGAAGACCTTCTTCCAAATACTGGTAACTTCAGGACAGAAATTTGTCCTTTGCCGTTCAATCTGAGGACGCCGGTCTGAGCACTGTGAGGGAATTCATGCTCCAGTCTCCTATGGCCACAGAGATTGAACAGGCGCAAACAGTCCTAACTCTGGGAAATGCCAGAGACGCTACAGAAAATAACCTAGTCCAGGAGGTCAAGTTCAACTGCCTTTGCACTAACCGAACAAAAATACACTGGAAGAAGCATTAGAAATGAATTTTATCAGTTAGAAATGGAATGTAGAAAATTAAAAAAAAAAAAAGAAAGAATGTTGGGGCTGGAGAGACAGCACAGCGGGTAGGGCGTTTGCCTTGCATGCGGCCGACCCAGGTTCGATTCCCAACATCCCATATGGTCCTCTGGGCACCGCCGGGAGTAACTCCTGAGTGCAGAGCCAGGAGTAACCCCTGTGCATCGCCGGGTGTGACCCAAAAAGAAAAAAAAAATTGACAGTGATCTCCAATCATTAAAAAAAAAAAAATGTTACCACCACTAGAGCTTGTGGAAGGAAAAAAAAAAAGCTGGGGAGGTGTTTAGTCTACACCTGGCTCTGCGCTGAGACTACTCCTGTTTCTGTGCTCAGGAGTGACTCCTGGCAGGGCTCAGGAAACGTGTGGCATCAGGGATGAAACAGAGGCCAGCAGGATTTAGGGAAGATGCTTTGTCTCCTACACTACCCCCTCCAAAGCCTCCGCCTTTTTTTTTTTTTTTTGAAGTGCAGGGAGGGAGGGGAGGTTAGGGAGGTTGAGCTTGTAAAATTTAATACACAGAAACACAGAAACCTCATTTAAATGAGGTTTCATACTCTTGCAATCAGCAACATGCTGGTACCTCCCCTGGGGATGTGCCCTTCCCACCAAGAGGTTAAAAGCAGGCGGTTCCTCTTTGCCAGCCACTGCCCAGCCAATGAGAGGGTGCCACAGGCCAACAAAAGCAGCCAGCCTACATCACACTCCCCGTTTCCTCCAATGATCTCTTTGCTTACGGGAGTCCCTCAGAGGTCTGTCTAAGTTGGACTGGGCTTTGGTTCTGGGGAAAAAAAAAAAGCATGCCACTATCTCTTAGAGAGACTTGATCTCCAAGTTACCCTTGCTCTTCTTCCCAAGCTCATGTTGAAATAACTGATGGATTTTTGTGTGAGCTTCACCTGCTCTAGAAATGCAGAGCCTGGAGGAGAGATCACTGTGTCATTGTCATCCTGTTGTTCATTGATTTCCTGGAGCAGGCACCAATAACGTCTCCTTCGTCCTAGCCCTGAGATTTTAGAAAGGGCCACATTTGAGGCTCTTTCAGGGTCAGGAGAATGAGACCCGTCATTGTTACTGGGTTTTGGCGTATTGAGTACGCCACGGGGAGTTTGCCAGACTCTCTGCCATGCAGGAAGGATACTTTCGGTAGCCTGCCAGGTTCTCCAGAATAAGTAGATAATAAGAGAGAATGACTTTCCAATATCCACTGCCGAGAGAGAGAGAGAGAGAGAGAGAGAGAGAGAGAGAGAGAGAGAGAGGAAGAGACAGGGAGAGAGGGAGAGAAAGATGGAGAGAGACAGGGAGAGAGACAGGGAGAGACAGGGAGAGAGGAAGAAAGACAGGGAGAGAGATGGAGAGAGACGGAGAGAGAGAGAGAGAGGGAGGGAGGGAGAAAGAGGGAGAGGGAGAGAGAGAGAAAAAGAGAGAGAGGGAGAGATATCGTGCAAGATGGCAGCTAGGGAGAGAGGGCAGCAGAGGGCCATCCCCCTCTGTACAAAGGGACCCAGTTCCTCTGCTGTGACCCCGAACCCCAAACCATATCTGGAGTCAATTCCTAAACAACTGTTGCCTCCCCAGTTAAGAATGTGCTGACGAACGGTAGGACCTTCCGACTCTTTTGCAGCGAGAGTTCCTCAAAGGACCGAACCCCGTTCGGGGAGGGTGAGAATGGGTTCAACCGTCAGCCTTAGAGCGCCAGCGTGAGGGACCAACATCTACATCAGATGGTGGAACAAGAACTTGGATGCTGGTTTGGCGGAAGGGACATCCAGCGCGATGGAGACGCAGGCCTGTATCACTTGGGATGTGCTCTGTCGTGGTGACAGTAATGATGCTGATGGCCCTGACTGCCATTAACTGCTCGTCAGCCATGACTCTGAGCACTTTATGCCGCCTGGTCCTTCTAGCAAAGGGGCAACTCTTATTTCCACACTGTAAAAGTAAAAACTAAAACAAAGCAAGACAGGAGAGATAGGACAGGGATCACGGTGCTCCCTTGGCCCACAGCTGACCTCGGCTTGATCCCTGGCACGAGTGCCTCTGAGAGTGACCCCTGAGCACTGGACCAAGACTCAGACCTGAGCACTCTGGGAGTGGCCCCAAACACAAACCGACACCCAGGACAAAACAGTAAAAGTGAGAAATAGCAGAGCCAGGATTTGGCAAAAAAGGAACAGGGCAGAGGATGGAAACGGATCCACTCAAAGGCTGAGCTCACCGACAGCTCACGCGCGGCTCCAGAAGTCACTGTAACATATCCGAATGGCTACGCCTAGACGTCACTAAATTATATTTACTGACTCCAGCTTGGCCTCCTCTCTGGGCATCTCCCTGGCAGACAGAGAACAAAAGCTCCGAGGACCTGCACATGAGCAGCCTGCTGTCCGTTTGGCTGGGCTTCTGTGGACGTCTTCGAACCCCATGGGCCTCCTCGGTCAAGGGACGGCGGGGAAGGAAGCCTCGCACCCCTGCACGGCCCCTCCACTTGGGCAGAGACGCCGCCAAACTCTAGCGCCTCCCCAGAGAGAGGCTCTCGCTTGAGACAGCCTGGGCTTCTCTGTGGATTTTCCTCTGATGGAAAAGTCACCAGATGATGCAAAAAATAAAAAAAATAATAATAATAAAAAATTTAAGATTCAATTAAAAAAAAAGTTGAGGGGGCAAAAACGGGAAACTTGTAAAATGACACGTAAAGGATCGGCAGGAGGGGGGAGGAGGGAAGGGAAATGGGGAAGGAAAGAGGAGAGGGGAGGGGAGAGGAGAGACCGTTCAATGAGTGGATGTCGGATACCACCAGCAAGGCCTGGTGGCCGCACCAGCCACACTCTGGAAAAGGAAGATCTCGGAGAAGGTGGAATGTGAGCTCCCGGACGAGCCTCACCCAAGAGGGAACCAGCAGAAAAACCCAGGGATGCGGGACCCGCGACTGAGATCTCCAAGCCCACTTGGATCAGGACTGGGCCTCCTCCCCCCAGCTCCCCGGTTTTCCAGTAGCTTGGCAGTCACGCCCCTAAACTGCCCCCGGGTGCCATATAATCTCATCAATTGGCTGAGATCCAGGGACTATAAACCAAAGCTCCTGGAAGTAAGCGACACAGAACTTCCTGGGGCGCACGGCTGCATTTGCGGCCGAGCAACCTCTTACACTCTAGATCACTTACGTACCAAAGCAGCCCACATTCGTTTGGTTTCAGTATACTTGCTTGTGTTCTCTTATGTATGGGCTTAAATGTCTCCAGGATGCAGTGCGACAACCATCGCACACTTCCCTCTCATTGTGGTGGGAAGGTGCTCGGTGGTGGTGGAATTGGTGTTTGAATATTATCTGCAATCGACTATTGGGAACTACTTTATGAAAATAAAATATATAAAAAGAATGTGAGCTTCGTCTGAACGCTCTCTGCCAGAGGCAGCCAGGTCCCCATGGGCACAGGCTACTGGTCACTTGGAAAGAGAAGAAAGTCATGTGGACAGCTGGGTCCACTCGCTGGCAGGTAGAAGCATCTCACCCTGGCCTTCCACCAGGCACACTCGCCACCATCACGGGTTTTTGGGGCTCCCATCTCCCCCCCCCCCCCAGCACTGTCCACTGAGTCCCGATGGGCGGGTACAGCAGGTCTCACACTAAGGGCTGCACTGTCCACTCACACATGGTCCCAGGTCGGGGCCACCCTCATCTGGGCTGTGCCATGTGTCTGTGGGCACAGGGCATCTGGCTCCGGGGCTTTGGGGTCAGGGGACTCCTCGGTAGGACACAGCTTCTCTGGGCTCTGCAGCTGCCCATTAGGGACAGGACACGTGTCCGATGGCCTCCCAGCATGCAGACCGGATGTCTACCCCGTGGCATGGACGCGTTCTTTCACCAGCAGCAGGTGGAAACGTGGCCCTTCCCTCCAGCCTCTGACGTGGTCCGCACTCATGTCTTTCCGGTAACCCTAACCCTGACCACAGCCAACATTCGATGGTGCCGCCACACCCCCAGCTGGACAGACCAAGGCGTGGGCTGCCAGGGAGCATGAATCAGGAGATGCCGGGGACCCTCAGGTTTCTTCCACATCAGAGAATAGGTCTGGGCGCCCGTGGAAGGGGCCAGTACACGCAATGTAGGCGTTGGGGGGCACTGCCTTTTTTTGGTTTGTTGCTTGTTTTGTTTTTTTGTTTTGTTTTGTTTTGTTTTTGCTTTTTGGGTCACACCCAGCGATGCTCAGAGGTTGCTCCTGACTCTGCATTCAGGAATTACTTCTGGTGGCGCTTGGGGGACCCAATGGGATGCTGGGGATTGAACCCAAGTCGGCCGCGTGCAAGGCAAACGCCCTACCTGCTATCCTATCGCTCCAACCCCAGCACTGCCATTTGGAGCGTGCCAACCCAGCTCCCGTGCCTTTCTACCTCGAAGAATTGATCCTAAACTCCGTCCCCGGTCATCAAGCTGTTCCCCCGCGCCCCCTCCCCTCCTGCCCCGAGAGAGAGAGAGAGAGAGAGAGAGAGAGAGAGAGAGAGAGAGAGAGAGGTTAATAATAACTGAGTAAATAACCCCCCGGAGACGCTGGCCCTTTGATATGTCCCACAGGCCCGAGGCCCGACCACAGAGGCCGGCCGCTGTTTTCAGAACGACAGAGCTTACTAATTTGGGAACTCCGGGGCTATTTTTTAACGTGTTCTCGCGGCATTAGCACCTGTCAGCTCCATGTCCCTTGGCTTTCTGGGTGGGGGGGGTGCAAAGAGCAGCCGGGGGCCTGCTGGGGAGGGGGAGGAAAGGGGTCCCCGGGGTGGGGGGGTGTGCACAGCTGGGACGGGCGTCCTGGCGGCTGGTGAGGGAGGAATCCCCAAGGTGGGCCGGACTCTGAGCCGCCTCCCAGGTCAGACGTGTTGGTGCCGTTTCCTCGGGTCACCCCGCCCTACCCCGTGCCAGCACGCCCGCTCTCCCACGGCAGCTGAGTGCCACGTGTCTATGTGGACGTCATACGGCGTGGGGCAGGGTCTGCCTGCCCCCACCCCGCGCTTGGACGCCAAGTGCCCGCTCACACCGGGGGCCCCGGGAGCGCCCCGGAGCAGGGCCAAGAAGCTGAGCCCTGGCAGTAGATGTGGAACCATCCGGGATGGCATCACCTTTCCTGCGGGGTCTAAAGACCTGGTCTCAGAAAACAGAGTGCCGGTGACGACAAACCACGGGCCCTGAAAGCTGACAAGTCAGGCTGCGGCTTGCTCATTACGGGGGACCCTATGGGATGCTGGGGATTGAACCTTGTGGCGCCTGCTTCTCGTTATGGGGCCACGGACTCCCTAGCAGTGCTCAGCAGCGTTGAGGGGTCTCCTCCCTGCCGCAAGCAGCCCACCAGGACCCGGGAGGCAGAACTGCCTGGGCCCGCAGTGGGGGGCAGGACATGCGGGCAGAGTCTGAGTCGCCTGCATGTCCTGCTCCGGTGCCGGAGCCCCGCAAGCAGGCGGCCTGACGCTGCAGCCAGGGGGTCTGTCCGGAAGCCGGAAGGGCCACGCTGCCCCGAGTGTGCCCAGGTGCCTCTTCCAGGCCGGGCCTCGCCTCTGCACAGCCACACCCTGACTCAGCCCCACGCGAGCAGGAAACCAGTGCTCTCCCAGGGGTGGGAAATCTCCCCTTGGTGAAGGCGACTCGAATCCCCACCAGCCAGCCCAGGGCGAGGCAGGTAGAGGGAGCCGGGGAGACAGAGAGTTGGGCCAGCCTTAGAGGGGACGGGACTGCGGCCCGGCTCTTCGGGACATCGTGCTTGGAGAACGGCACGACGGTCAGGAAATGCTCTCGGCACAGTCCAGCCACAAAAAAAGGACAAATATTACATCACTCCCAGAAGACAGAACAGGGAGTGGTGACTTGTGTGTGTGTGTGTGTTGTGTGTGTGTGTGTGTGAGAGAGAGAGAGAGAGAGAGAGAGAGAGAGAGAGAGAGAGAGAGGCCCATGAGGAGGGGACTGTCGAATGGGTCCATCTGTTTTCCATCAGGCGTGGCTTGGTGGGGGTCACCACGGAGTCAGGCCACGGGACGGGGCACCCTGCCGTGGGTCCCCGCGGTAAGGACAGGGATAGCGAAGCTCACCTTTGAAGTTGCCGATGTACAGCCCGGGCAGGATCTGAGGAGAGAGAGACACGAGTGAGCATCACAGCGGGAACTGACGGAGTTTCCCACAGGGCCACAGCCCGGGCCCAGAGGAGACAGTGGGGGTCGCAGTCACTGGAGCGCCACCGGCCTGTCCTGGGCCTCACCACCAGGCACCTGCCGGTACCCGTGGACCATGATGCCCCTAACCCCCCAGGGCCTCCAGAGCTCCCAACATCCGGAGTCTAGACCCTCACCTGAGACCACCCCACGCGCACACACATACACGCACACACACATACACACGCATGCACACACATGCACGCACACATATGCACACACATGGACACACATGCACCTACACACATGCGTGCACACACACACACACACACACACACACACACACACACACTTTCTCTCCCCGCAACCCGCACACTTCCGCTTCTCTCAGTCTGACCAGCAAACCTGCCCCTCGCAGTCTGAGGTCGTCCCAGTGGGGACCAGCCGTCACAGAGTCATGCTGCTTTCTCCATCCCATCCCTGACCCAGAGCCCGCAGGGAGCGCATCCCAATGTCCTCAGGCCTCTGTGCTCACACACAGCCAACCCCAGCCTGACCTGCGGCCAAATGCCACCGGGAGTGGCCCTTGGGCACAGGGTCAGGAATCAGCCCTGAGTCCAGCCTGGTGGCGGGCCCCCTCCCTCAATATGAACTGTATACACATACGTTCAGAAGAACACTCATTTGCTTCAAAAAAAAGTGTACTTCTAGGCAGAGGTCCTCAAAGCAGACACCCAGCATCCCTGGATGTGCAAACCACTCTTATTCTGGGATCAGGTGACTGGTGAATGAGTGAAGCATGTGAGTGCTCCGTGAGTGGCCCCCAGGACCGGTCAGCACTGCCCCGGTGACCCCCACACTGACAGGCCCTGAGCAGAGCTGGGTGGCCAGGCTGAGGAAGAGCCTGCTGGTGCCCTGGGCACCGCTGCTGGTGGCCTTACCACGTGAGTCTGGTGCCAGACACAGTACAGGGGTCAAGCCATCACCTCATGGGCCGCCACTTCCGCCATGACCCTGGCTCCACCCAGGCACCACGTGTGGTCCCCCGAGCAGCGTTAGGGGGGGTCACTCCCGAGCACAGAGAAGGACCAGCCCCTGAGCACTGCCAGGTCCTTCTGCCCACCCGAATTCAAGACAAACCTGTCCCCTACGTAGCAGCCTCCATATGGAACGGCTCAGGGTTTGGAGCTGGAACTGGGCTATTTTTCACAAAGCTCCTCCCCTGCCTGGGGTCTGCCTGGCGATCCCCCCACCCACTGCAGGGGCACGTGAGTGAGTGGCAGCAGGGTTGAGCCGAGGCCGCCTGCTTGGACCCGCTTCCCCTCCCGTGAGTGACAGAGGGGACCGTGGAGGCGGGGAAGAAAGGCGCCAGGCCCCGGGATTCTCAGGCAGCCTGGGCAGGAAACTGACCATCCCCCAGCTGACCCCATACCCGGGAGGGCAAGTCAGCTCCGAGGGAACCCAGCGGTTGGCTGTCTCCCAAGGGACCCCCGGACACACACAGGCTCTATCGCCCGGCCAGGTGAGGCCATTTCCTGGAGGTAGGGGTCAGTGTCCACTGTCAAGTGGACAGACCCTAAAAAGGGCCCCCTCAATTGGTGTGATTCTCCCGGGAGGAAGGGCGGAGGACGCCCCATCCATCTTGTTTGCAAGCGTCAGAAATAATTCAAGTGCCTCCCGGAGAAACAGCAGCTGGGTTCCTGGCAGCTGCTGACGGCTCCGGGCACGTCCCTGGGCCCTGCCCGTTCCTCATGCTCGGAGGTGGCCTGGCCTGTGAGCGGGCACCGGAAGCATGAGCCTCTGGCCCGCCTGGACTGCCACGCCCGGGCTCCCCGCAGCCCTCTACCGGGTGCTGGCCAAGAAGTCCAGACCCCAGTTTACGAAGAACCTTCCCGCCCGGAAACCCAAGCCAGTGCTCCTCCTCTGTCCAGTCCCACGGCCCATGGGATTTGAAGGCATTCCCCGCCTTCGCCGTGCCTGTGCAAATCTGCTTGGCACCACCGGGGGTCCCTCTCACTGGTCACCAAGTCTCTGTCCCCCCGGAAGAGTCTCCCCGTCATTCCCAAGAATCCTTCTTTGCCACCACTGGCCACAAGTGCCCTGAGATTCACAGGCTGAGCGTGCTGCTGGCCGGAGTCACCGAGGACACGGCAGTGGCCTCCTGGGAACAGCTATCCCACGCCAGACCCACACTGAGAGCCGGGGACGCAGGCCTAATGGAAAGGCCCGGGGAGGAAGGAAGGAGGTGACGCAGCCGTTCTGAAATCCTTGAGGACATCCAGGAGGCAGTGACGCCCCCAGGGGATGCCTGAGAAGGGGGCAGGAGAAGGAGGGCTGCTCAGGGGAGCACAAGCCCGGCGAGAGGACTCGGGGCGGTGGATGCTGGGAGCATTGTGGTCCCCAGGAGCCCCTGAAGGTCACTTTGACACCTGTCTGCACTTCTCTATAGGGCCTGGCTTCCCACGCACCTCCCTTCATTCTTGGGGCACCGGGATGTGGCCGCAGTACAGGGGTCGGGTCGTCCCCCTATGAAGCCACTGCCGCCAGGACCCTGGTTCCACTCGGGCTCCACAGATGGTCCCCTGAGCACCGTCAGGGCTGACTCCTGAGCACAGAGTCAGGAAGACCCCCTAAGCACTGCCAGTTACTTCTGCCCACCCCACCACCCAAACTCACACACACACACACAAAAACTTCTGATTTCGAGAAAAGCCCCACGCCTACCTAGCCAGCCTCCATATGGAATGGCTCAGGGGTCTTGGGGCTACTCCTAACTCTGTGCTCAGGGGGTGTCTGGGTGGGTGGGTGCTGACTCAGGTCTCCTGTGGCCAAGCCCGCACTCAGCCTGCGGAAAAACTCCCGCCCACTTCTGACTGGTTAAGTCCAGTTTTGCTTTTCTGCTTTGTACAGTTACTACTTTCTCTATTACATGTGAACTATTACCTTGATATTCATTTTTGTTTTGAATGAGAAGCCTTTTATAAAAAAAATTTTTTTAAATGGTATTGATTTACCATTGATATCACATAACTGCCGCGGAAGTGGCTTCTTCCTGCCATGTGGCCTGTTTGGGCCCTTCTTGTTTCTTTCTTGGAGAAGATCTCCCCATCATTTAGGGTCTCTCCTGGGCACTCTCAAACGGACAACCTCCTGGGGCCAGAGAGACAGCCCACGTGCCTTGCATGCAGCCAACCTGGTGTACATACGGCCCCTGAGCACTGCCAGGAGTGATCCCTGAGCACAGAGCCAGGAGTGATCCCGGAGCACCATGAGGTGCGGTCCCCAAGCCAACATGTGGACATACATAAGCCGTGCAGTGAACAGATAACTTTGTGATTTTCTGGCCATTTGAGGCCCCTTCCTGAGTATGGAAATCCTCCTCCCACCAGCCCCAACTGCGGAGAGCAGGGCCCGGCTCTTCCCATGGAAGCCAGAAGTGGACAGTGTAACGGCCGTCCAGTCGTCCTGGACTCCGTGGCAGGCTCTGGCGACAGAGCGGTGGAAAGACCAGCAGGTCCCCGTGAGCAGGGGAGGTTTCCTTCCACAAAGGGATGAACTACAGGGCGATGTAAGAAGTGAGGGAGGAGCAGAACAAGGCCAGGGAGGTGTGAAGACGGGAAGAGTGAAGGCCAGGAGGTGGGACTCAGCCCCTTTCTGCCCTGGGTGGGCTTTGGTAGGGGTCTGTGATGGCCAGGCCCGCAATACGGGCATCTTTGTTCGAGTCACGTTATCCCAGAGAGATGCCTGGAGCAGAGTGCTAGCAACCGAGAGGGCTGGACCTAATGAAAATCAAAGAGGCAATGACCAAAAAAAAATAATAATAATTGCAGATGCTCTCTCCATGTGCATGTAAATATTTGTAAGTCCCTTCAAGAGAGTTCAGAGTTGTGCCTCTCAATGCTTAACTGTTTTCCAAACCAGGGGAGAAAACTAGAGTTTCCAAGGCTGGCAAAAAAAGAGAAAAGCAGATTGTCCAATCCCTGTTTCTTTCTGGAGTTTCTTTTCATTCAGACTTAGAAAACATGAGGCTGAAGGAAGGCTGGAGGGCCCAGCCACTGGTACGGAAGATACGTTTTTAGGTGCAAAGAGAATAAATAAAAAAAGGCTCACAAATACTCAAGCTTCTATACCACCAGTCAGCTTCATGATTCAAATTTAAAAAACTTTAAAAAAAGAAATAATATTGGTGAATTCCCCAATATTAGTGTCGGTGGTGATGCCCAAGAGCAGAGAGAGAGAGAGAGAGAGAGAGAGAAAAAATGAAATGAATCATTTTCTAGCAGAGAGATGGTCTCGCAAAGAGGTGGGGGTAGAATAACGCTCATCTGGGACAAATTGGTCAACCAGAGAATTCACCAAGTGGAATGCAGGTAGAAGAAAGAACACAGTGTGAGTAAAATCATCTCCACCCAGGAAGAAGGCAGGACAGATCACGGGATGGGGGTGGGGGGGTGGGGGGTGGGGAGGGACCTTCTAGCTACAACATGGAAGTGTTTCATCACTCCAAAGGAGCCAGCGCCAAGTAGCCCTGAGTCATCTTCAGGCTTCAGAATCAACTCGTCTTCTTCTCTGCCCGGGCTGCTCTTCCAGGGACAGTTCCGGGGAGGCCCTTCCCTTCCCGCCAGCTTCTCTGGCCTGCTTTTCGCCTGTATTAGCACCCCGAAGACAGTGCGACCTTTCTTTCTTTCTTTCTTTCTTTCTTTCTTTCTTTCTTTCTTTCTTTCTTTCTTCCTTCCTTCCTTCCTTTCTTTTTCTTTCTTTCCTTTCTTTTTAAATTTTTATTAGTGAAACACCATGAGGTACAGTTGTAGACTTACAAATTTTTGTGCTTGGGTTTCAGTTATACAACGATCGAGTACCCATCCCTCCGCCAGTGCCCATTCTCCACCACCACTGACCCCAGTATCCCTCCCACCACCCATCCCCTCCCCCATCCTACCCTGCCTCTGTGGCAGCCTTACTTTCTGATCAACC